GCTGCAGTAAATATTATTTGAGAGAGACCATGGCTGTCGTAAAAACTTTTTGAGACCACATTTATTATGGCGAGATAATGCCGTCACAATGCCGCGATAAGAAATATTTGTGACAGCAAATACACTTTTTATGACAACACTTTACAGCCGAAAAAACCTTTTTTTTTGTAGTGACGCCCAAAAACTGGTCTGTCATTCCTCCCTTGGTGAAGCTCAGAGAAGTTGATATGGTGAAGGCAAAGCCGTGGTCGTTTGGTAATCCCAATTTAGGAACTATGGCGAAGACAAAATAGGTGAAAAATGAGAGAGACTGAGCTGACCCAGATGAGGTAAATTGTTAAATTTCGCGGGAATTTGGTAGAAAGCATGGCCAGTGTCTTGCTTTGAAGTGATGGTAAGCTGCAATAAGCCATTAGGACGGATTTCAGCGAGACCATCAAGATACAATTTGGCTCCACGTAAGCTATGGTAGATGAACTGGGTGTCATCTTGATCCAAGGCCAAGAGTTTTTTTGGACATAATGAAGAATAACAAGAAATGAAGAGTTCTAAGAGATGTAGCCATTAACGAAGTGAGAGAAGGCTTCTTCCGTCTTGAAATTTTGTTAATTTAAACAGACAAAAGCAGCTTATCAAGTGGTCTGATTCAAATTTTGTTGAGATCTTAACTAATTATTCATATAGAGTACGATACATCAAATGGATGGTCTGAATGTAAAACTACAGTCACATTGTGAAACCAAACAGGAAAATATTATTTGAACTTAAAATATAAACTTGATAATCACAGTAATTGAATAGATAGTATGTTCTAATAAATATAAAAATTTATAGTANCCTTCAGGTCCAATCTTCTTAGTGTCGATTCCTTCTATCCTTCTCTTCAATTTTCTTTTGATCCTTAGTCTTTTTTTTTTATGTTAGCAACCCCCAAAATCAGTCTATCTCCATTCCAACTCAAACCCTAGCATATATATACCATTAGGGTTCAATTTCGGCCCCAAAACAAGTCAAAATTCGCGTCCAGTGCCAACACAAGTGCCCAGGCGCTTAAAATCAACATAGGGACACTAACTTTCTGCCCTTCCAACACTGTTCGAGCGCAGCTACGCTGATCCCCTTTAAACCTAAAGCTTCCCTTGTTGCTTAGCCTTCAAAAATCGAACACTTAGGCTCCAAATTGACCTTGTTTCCATCCAAATGATTTNGGGTTGTCTTTATCAGTTGACAAAACTGAAATCAGATTTGTCAAACCAAACAGAAGAAACTAAGGATGTGTAGCGAGCACAAGAGGTGGAAATAAAGAACTATTACTTTTTATCTGAACCATTGGATTATTTAAATTGTAGCAGCAGTAATAAATACATAATGCCCATAATAAATTGTAATCCAGCATTCCAAAAATAATTTGAATTTCTATGTACTTTGATAACTCAATTAGAAAATGTTATTTAAGTGCTCAAACCCGGGGGGGAGGGGGGGAGAGAGAGAGGTGGTGGTGGTGATGATTTTCAGTTCTATATTGTTTATACAAAAAAATATTTTTTTTAATAAAAGAAAAGGTAGAACATATGCAATTCAAATTTTTTTTCTTAGTCAAATATTACTTTTAATTAACTTTTTAGAATTAGCCTTAGATTTTTATTTTTTTTTATTGTAATTAGACTTTTATGATAAATTTTTTGTGAGATTAAATTTTAATAATGCTTAAAATTTTAGTTATAAAAATGTATAAAATTGGGGCTAAATCACCGACTTTGTTCGGGTAGTGTTGGAGCCGCCCAAGAGATTCTAAGAGATAGTATTAGTAGTGATGGTGTAATTCGGCAAACAAGCAGAAGATACGTATCACATAATCAAGTTCTAGCTTGAGCTTCAAGGCTCGTAAGAACTATGGAAAGATCCTTTTTGGATTGGGTTGACTGGCACAGTGAAAATATAGTGGTTCACCGAGCTCGGGAAGCTCGGCTAATCCACTCTTGAAGGGAGTCTCTTTCTTCTTTTATTTGTATTAATGCCAGCAGTGATTTAAAAAGTACCTATGATAATACTAGGGTTCCTATTACTAAGAGATACACAAGGAGATTTTGCCCTTCATTCATGGGATCTCCCTTGATTCCTATAGAGAATCTTGCTTGGTTGGAAGTCCTGTGCCTTGATTGCAGTCTCCTGTTTTCCTCGGAGTGCCAGCTATCTCCTCGATTTTCCTCCCAATTTCTCTGAGGGGAGCTTGAGGTCTGGCCATAAGAGCTCTGGACAGCCGACTTGTTCTCCTAGTCTGGCCTCCATATTCAAGCTCATTCTTGGGATTTCTTCTGGGTATCATCAGTTGCCCCCTAGTCCCTGGTCAAAGTGGGTTTGACCTGGGGCTGAGTTAGAGTTGAGTCGAAGTAGAACCTCCCAAGACAACCTCGATCCGTGCATGGAAGTTGCCCTTTGACGATTTTTTGCATTCATCCTTTTCCTCGTTTCCCGCACACGTTATTACCCATGTCTCTCGAGCTTTAAATACTCACACGACAAGAAAACTGCCAAAACTTCCTGTCCACCTTCTTCCTTTGACCTTTGATTTCCTATTTTTCTACACTCTTTACTTTCCTATTTTACTAGCAAACTTAGGGTTTTGCTGAACCTCCTCTCCTCTGGATTCAACTTTGAAGGCTCCACGGGATTCGCCTCTTGATTTCGCTCTGGGGTTTTGATTTGTCTTCTTTGACTAGGTACGCTTCTCAGCCCTTGTTTGTCCCTTCGTTCTAGATCCCTTGAATCTGAGGTGGTTGTTGTATTTCTGGACTTTTCGAATTTGCTATTTTAGGAATTGGGTTTACTCTTTGTCTTGTCTTCAACTCTTTCTTGACCCTTACTCTACAGCTAGAATTTTCCTAATCAGCAGTTGTTGTGTTGACCCCTTGACCCTCAGGGAGTGTTTTTCAGAGATTCCTCCCCTTTATAGATCTTTTCGACTCCCTTATTCTTGCCCAGCTANTTGTTTCTTTCCAAATAATGATCCCTACAAAATAACATCAAAACACACAAAACAAATAAAAAGGAAGCTAAAATATTAGAAAACTTGCAATTTCATTAAGTCAAAAATACTCAATTAGTAGGTATAAAACCCAGTCATCAATGTTCAACTTTTTGGATTAATTTCTTGTACTCATAGATCGTTATGTTTTGTAAAAGTTCATATTTTACATTTTGTTTAACTCATGAGATTGTTTTTTTTATATGAAAATATTATTATGTTTTTGGAAATGTTTGTCATATTTACTTTTGAGTTTATTTATATATTGAATTTGGTAGTACGTATACCAATGAGTCTTTGGTTCAATGGTACTCCCTACCTTATGAAAATTTTGTCTTCTTGAGGTCAAGGGTTCAAATACCCCTTCCCCTCCTAAAAAAAAAAAAGTTATACAGATTAGTGCTTTAAAATTCATGTGATAGAAGTGTATATATGCACAGGGTATAAACATTGGTTACCAACAATCCATAATAATTAAAAAATAAATTTTTTTTTATGGCGGCATCATTGTTGTCCTAAATCTGATTTTTTGTGACAACTTATTTATGACGGGATCGTGCTGCCGTAAATATTATTTGAGAGAGACCGTTGCTGTCGTAAAAACTTTTTGAGACCACATTTATTATGGCGAGACAATGCCGTCACAATGCCGCGACANTTTATGATAAATTTTTTGTGAGATTAAATTTTAATAATGCTTAAAATTTTAGTTATAAAAATGTATAAAATTGGGGCTAAATCACCGACTTTGTTCGGGTAGTGTTGGAGCCGCCCAAGAGATTCTAAGAGATAGTATTAGTAGTGATGGTGTAATTCGGCAAACAAGCAGAAGATACGTATCACATAATCAAGTTGTAGCTTGAGCTTCAAGGCTCGTAAGAACTATGGAAAGATCCTTTTTGGATTGGGTTGACTGGCACAGTGAAAATATAGTGGTTCACCGAGCTCGGGAAGCTCGGCTAATCCACTCTTGAAGGGAGTCTCTTTCTTCTTTTATTTGTATTAATGCCAGCAGTGATTTAAAAAGTACCTATGATAATACTAGGGTTCCTATTACTAAGAGATACACAAGGAGATTTTGCCCTTCATTCATGGGATCTCCCTTGATTCCTATAGAGAATCTTGCTTGGTTGGAAGTCTTATGCCTTGATTGCAGTCTCCTGTTTTCCTCGGAGTGCCAGCTATCTCCTCGATTTTCCTCCCAATTTCTCTGAGGGGAGCTTGAGGTCTGGCCATAAGAGCTCTGGACAGCCGACTTGTTCTCCTAGTCTGGCCTCCATATTCAAGCTCATTCTTGGGATTTCTTCTGGGTATCATCAGTTGCCCCCTAGTCCCTGGTCAAAGTGGGTTTGACCTGGGGCTGAGTTAGAGTTGAGTCGAAGTAGAACCTCCCAAGACAACCTCGATCCGTGCATGGAAGTTGCCCTTTGACGATTTTTTGCATTCATCCTTTTCCTCGTTTCCCGCACACGTTATTACCCATGTCTCTCGAGCTTTAAATACTCACACGACAAGAAAACTGCCAAAACTTCCTGTCCACCTTCTTCCTTTGACCTTTGATTTCCTATTTTTCTACACTCTTTACTTTCCTATTTTACTAGCAAACTTAGGGTTTTGCTGAACCTCCTCTCCTCTGGATTCAACTTTGAAGGCTCCACGGGATTCGCCTCTTGATTTCGCTCTGGGGTTTTGATTTGTCTTCTTTGACTAGGTACGCTTCTCAGCCCTTGTTTGTCCCTTCGTTCTAGATCCCTTGAATCTGAGGTGGTTGTTGTATTTCTGGACTTTTCGAATTTGCTATTTTAGGAATTGGGTTTACTCTTTGTCTTGTCTTCAACTCTTTCTTGACCCTTACTCTACAGCTAGAATTTTCCTAATCAGCAGTTGTTGTGTTGACCCCTTGACCCTCAGGGAGTGTTTTTCAGAGATTCCTCCCCTTTATAGATCTTTTCGACTCCCTTATTCTTGCCCAGCTATGTCTGCTTCTTCCGAAGCTACAGGCTCATCTATTTCCCTCAAGGGGAACAGGTCTCTTGAAGCATAGGATTCTGATTTGGGTGACGTAGGGGAGGAGATTGACAGCTTTCCTAGTATCGATTCTGTCGATATTGAGGAAAAATGTTGAGGAGCCCCCTTCTTCGTCTTTCGCAATACCTAAAACCCCCAGCAAAGGTAAGGCTAAGGTGAGTGGCGTAGGGGTTTCAGGCTGCGCTAAGGGCGTAGGGGCCGTATCCAAAGTTGTAGAACTCATTGGCGCCAGTGAGGTCTCTCTTCCTTAGATGAAGGTCTTAGCTGCTCATTTTGGTTTTCCCCAAGACATGGAATTTTGGTGCTTCGACTAGTTTACCAGATATGACTCTGTGGTCCTAGAGATTACCTGTTTCTTCATAGCTTCTTTCCAGAACTGGCTTAGGTTTCCTGTGCATCCCTTTATCAAGTCTGTCCACCGGTATGTTAACATCTGCCCTGCTCAAATATCTCCTAACTTTTGGGGGGTCTTTTGGTCTTTTTCAAGACAAACCAACTTGGCACCCCTCCTATCCCATTGCTCATGAAATTCTTCAATGTCAAGTTCTATCCAAATGGTTTTTTGTACATTTTGAAGTGGATGCAAATCTCAGCCTTGATCACTGACCTACCCATCTCTCATAAGAACTAGACGAAACAGTTCTTCTTTGTGTTAGGGAAGGCATGGGAGTTTAATCCCAGTGACGTCACTGACTCCCTTCTAGTTCTGCGCTCCTGGGCAGGTCTAGAAAACCTGGGTAAGCTTGAGATTCCAGAAAAAGGCCCCTCCCTTCCCCTCTTTAACGTTAGATGCTGCGTTCATTTCTTTGGTTGTTCCAGGTATTCACCCTGAGCTAGGAGCTGATGATAGGAGAGTTTTGCTCACCTTTAGGGATTGGAAATTGGAGAGGTATTCCACTTTGACTAACCATTCTAAGCTCATAAAATTGGGCTTTAGCCCTGTAGTGGTGAGGATCAAAACTCCCGTTCCCATTTCTGTTGCTAGAGCTGAGTGTCAGATGATATTTTTGTTCTCAAGTCTTACCACCTCCTACCTTCCTTCTCTTGCCTCTTATTCTAATCTATTCATCCTCAACTTTTAGGTTCCTCATCAATGGAGTCCACATCAAAGGATCACATGGCCAAAGTGGCCTTGTTAAGGAAAACCAGGAGTAGGAACAAATGCAAGACTGAGGTCGGATCCGGGAGTGATTCAGCCTCCCCAGCCAATGTTCCTAGGTTGGAGGCCCCTTCTTCTTCTCCTCAACTACCTCAGGCAGCCCCCCATCTCCTTTGAGCTCTCTGAAGGCAGTCCATACCTTTTTCCCACAAGAGACTAGGTTGCCATCTTCTGGAGGGACCTCTAAGCAAAGCATTGTTCTGATCTTTCCTTCCTCGACAGAGGTTGAGAGAGCTTTGGAAATAGTATCTCATATTTTGCTTGGGTCTGCTCCTCCTTACCCTACAGAGAGATCCTCTCCATTACTGCCCAAAGTTTCTAAGAGTGAGAAAGGGAAGCTTCCCAATAGTGAGACAGGTGGAGGCTCCCTAATTGATAACGTCAACCGGGAAGCAGAGTCCATTGCCTCTATTATTCCATAATCTGATATTCAGAGGGCGGCAAGTATGCCCCTAGGATCTTCCCTTTCTTCTGCCCTGTTCGGCGCTACTTCTATAAGTCTTTAGCCTTTCAACTCTCTTCTTTACCTTGCGTCATTTCCTCATGCTGACTTTAGCTTTTTGGGGTTTATTTTTTGCTCTTAGATGGCCATTCATGTAAGTGGCTTGTTGAAAAGGATCTAAGTTTAAGAATGGTTTGCCAAAGCTTCCAAGGCTTTCGAGCTTAAGGATGCTAAGCTGTCTTTTGAAAACATCGACATTAAAGCCCAGGCCCAGGACTTACAAGCGCAATTGGAGAGGTAGACCTCCCTCAACAAAGATTTAGAGATTGAGAAAGAGAAGATTCAAAGTAAGGGTAAACACATCAAAGAAGAGCTTGGGAAGACAGAGGTGGAGCTTAGACATAGAACAGATGAATGGTTTAAGATCAGCCGAGAGAGTCTCGAGGCCTTGAGCTCCTATAGGGCCATGAAAAGTGAATATGACGTCTTGGCAGAGACTAGTGGCATTCTTCGAAATGAGCTCAAGGTGCAGTGGGCTGCAGCTCAAAAGAAGGATGATCTGATTGCTAAATTGGATGATGACATTACTACTCAGTGGGCCACTAACTGGCTCACTTTTCAAGACAAAGCTGAGTTGACCTACCCTAGCTTGGATTTCAATTTTGAGATCTCAACTGAGGAAGAGACTGAGGCCGCTAACGTTGAGGCCAGTGTCTTGACCCCTTTTGCTTCTAAAACAGTTCATAAAGGGGTTGAGGTGCCTATTCCACCTGCTGAGGCTCCAGCTCGAGGTGTTTCCTCCTCTATAGTCATTTCTATAAGTTCTAGTCCCGTAACTACTCCTACTTTAACAACTAGAGATCCTTCTGCTTCAGCTGTCCTTGTGGCTCAAGCCCCTAATCTAACTTTGCCAATAGCCAAAGTCGAGGTCTCTATTATTCCAGCTGCTCCTGAGCTCCTAGAAATTTCAACCACCGATCTGCTGAGCTCTACTCCTTTAGGGGTTACTACCGCTGAGCTTCTAGATTCTTCTCTTATGGAAACATCAACAATCGGGCTACCAGGCTCTTCTCCACCTATTCATAATACAGAATCCTAAAATTTCTTTTTTTACTGAATTGTTATATTTGAACTTCTTGTTTGGGGAATGTTTCATGCATACTGCTTTTCTGAATTATTGATGCCTCTATTGTCTCGGAGTTATTGTGTGCGCTACTTTGCTTTGCTTTGCTTTACACTCCCCCTATTTATCATACACATAGCTCCACTTTGCCCTATACTCCTTTTGACCCCTCTTGCCCCCTTGCTTCAAGGGGTCCTTTGGATCCTCTTGAAGCAAATGAGGTTAGAGAAGTTGAAAAGCTAGTGATCTATTGCACTGTGGTCTTTTGCAAGGAGGACTTGGCTCTTATTGAAGTAGTCTTGCCAAGAGTTTTCAAATAGCTTCAGAGCTAAAGAGGTTAATAGAACTGCGAGGTCTTAACCTTAGAGAGTTCTTTCCTTCTGTTTGGTGCTTTTAAGGGAGCAATGGAACTTGACCTCCCTCATGGTGACAGGATGTTTACTGGAAAGAATTCTCCACTTTTGAGAACATCGTCAATCCTTAAGCATTCTTCTATTTATGTGCTAAAGTCATCAAGATGATCAATTTCCACACTACCTTCCTACAAAGCTAGGATTCCCTATGGTAGCCATTGAACCCTAAGCTCGAGCTAGCATAGGGTCGTATTAATCATGCTCAGAGGTCTTTTTGATATAACCTAGGCTAACAAAATCACGAAGATAGAGTTGAGAGTTGGCCTGCTTTGTTTTCTGTGCCCAACTACCTTCCAAAAGAGTAATCGCCTCCTTAATTTGGAAACCCAAAGCTCAACCTACTTAGTCCCACGTGTGTTCCTTGTTTTCTCTTGAATCTTGAAGGTTTTTCGTTCTTCGCTTTCCTCCCCTTTGGATTTCTGATGGCTGCTCCCCTTTCCTCTCTGTTTAAGGACCGAACTTCTTTTGGGATCAAATGGAAATGACATTCTCTCTACTTAGTTCTTTCAATGATGACATATTCTGACTTGGATGGGATCAAGAAGTGATTCTTCCCTAACTTGGACCTGCCCCTTCGAGTCCCCTCCCCCAACGAGCCTTGCAATTATCTTTCTCCAAGGGAGATTTGCTTCTTCAAAGGTTCTTTGAATATGGGCCTGCACTTTCCCATTCACCCCTCTATTGGGTTTATCCTGTCTCACTGTGGCTTGTGCCCTTCTGGTCTCTCCCCCAAAGGATGGGCTGCCATGATTAGCTTTTTTCTTTTTTGGCACTTACGAGGTAATAACGAGTTTCCTACAGTGGCTGAGTTTCTTTATTTTTTTCGTTCTTGAAAAGGATAAGGTTCCTTGCTTTTGTTTTTTTTGGTGGAGGTGTTTTAAACTGCAACCTCTAATTCTTGACCTTCCTCCCTCCCTAGAGAGATGGGCTTAGCGCTTCTTTTTTACTTCTAGGGATTCTTGGAGATCCGCTGAGCTGCACTACAGGGAGTGTAGGGTCCCTTAATCCTGGAGGAGCTATTCTTATATAGGTAAGTGTCTTGAGTGCCTTAACTAGCTAGGTTCCACGATGTCTTGTTCTCATAAAAAACATTTTCTTGCAAGTACACCTGATTTGGACCTGGTGGAGGCAATGAAGGTTGAACAGATGCTCCACGCTGAGCCTATGCCTTTTTCTGAGCTGCTGACCTTAGATAACCTTTTCTTGTTTTGTGTTGTGGTGGCTACTATGGACTTTGTTTCTTTCCCTGACTCTCCTGATCCTTTCCCTCCTGAATCGGATGAGGATGAAGCCGCTGGTACATCTTCCAGGAAATGCAAGAGGAGTGGCTCCTCCTCTCCCTCGTCTCGATCTTTTTTGGGAGCAATACTATTTTCTTCAGCTAGGCAGAAACTTATGAATTTACTTTCGGAGGTGGAGAAGGAGAGAGATGAGCTAAGGGAAGAGAATGCGCATCTTCGAGATGCAAACGCTTCACTAAAGGAGGAAATAACAGAGTTGAATGAGAAAATTGGGAGAGTGTAGAACCTTTCATCTTTTCTTTGTTGTTCCTTGAGAGACAGACCTTTTCATGCTGCTTTGTAATTTCTTTTCATTTGTTGTTTGAACGTTTGCTCTTTTATATGTGCTTATAAGCAATGGATTTGTTGTGTGAATTCTTTGGCATGTTTTATGAGTTGTAGGGCTCATATTCTTACGGGCTGAAGAGCTCACCATAATTTTGTGTGCTAAAGAACTTATCTTAATTTTATGAGCTAAGAAGCTCATCGTGATTTTATGATTTTATGAGCTTGAGAAGCTCATCTTACTTTTATAAGTTGAAGACCTCATCTTGAGTTTTATGAGCCAAAGAGCTCATCTTACTTTTATGAGCTGAAGAGCTCATCTTGAGTTTTATGAGCTGGAGAGCTCATCCTACTTTTACGAGCTGAAGAGCTCATCTTTAGTTTTATGAGCTGGAGAGCTCATCTTGAGTTTTATGAGCTAGAGAGCTCATCTTACTTTTATGAGCTGAAGAGCTCATCCTGAGTTTTATGAGATAGAGAGCTCATCTTATGTTTATGAGCTAATGAACTCATCTTTTATTTATGAGCTGAAGAGCTCATCTTTTTGTGTATGAGTTGTAGAGCTCATCTTAATTTTATGAGATAAAGAGCTCATCTTTAGCTTCTTAGCTACTCCAAGGGGTCACGCACAGATGAATCAGAACATGTCGTTTTAATAAGAACTATCTTATTACAATAAGAAATTTACTGAAAAACCTTCTTAAGGTGTTCTGTGTTCCAGGAATGAGGCAGGACCTGGCCCTCTTCTGTTTGTAACTCATAGTTTCCAAGCCTTACAACTCTTGAGACAATGTAAGGACCTTCCCAATTAAGACCTAATTTCCCGTGAGCGGGGTCCTTTCTTGTAAGCAGGAGTCTCCTAAGTACTAGATCTCCAACTTTAAAACTCCTATGCCTGACCCTCCTATCATAGTATCTCGCTGTCTTTGTCTGGTAGTTTTTAATGCGATGTAGGGCTCCATCCCTCTTTTCATCCAAGATATCAAGGTTCAGCAGAAATGATTCATTGTTATGTTCTGATTCTGCGAGCTCTGCCCTAGGAGACGGGATTCCTACTTCCATGGGCACCACAGCTTCGATTCCGAATGCCAGAGCAAAGGGCATTTCCTGAGTTGCTGACTTGGTAGTTGTCTTGTAGGCCCATAGCACTTCTGGGATGTGCTCTACCCATGTTTCCTTTAGAGCCTCCAATTTAGTTTTCAGAGCTGCCTTTATAGTTCGGATAGTGACCTCCACTTGTCCATTGGATTGAGGGTGAGCTGGAGCTAAAAACTAATTCTTTATCCCTAGCTTAGCACTGAATTTTTTTGAACTTTGGGTTGCCGAATTACTTTTCGTTGTTGGAGACGATTGCCATGGGCATACCAAATCTGTAAATTAAGGACTTCCACGTGAAATTTTGAACCTTCTGTTCTGTGATCGTTGCCAAGAGTTCCACCTCTGCCCATTTGGTGAAGTAGTCTACTCCAATGATGGTGAACTTGCATTGCCTCACACTTATAGGAAGGGGGACCAAGAATGTCTAAACCCCATTGTTGGAATAGCCAAGGACTTACTACTGACGTTAGGATCTCTAGCGAACAATGGGAGATAGTACACTTTTTGACCAGGTCTGTTGCATCCTTGAGCATGATGGGCCAATAATATCCCTGCCTCAAAACTTTTCCTGCCAGAGCTCGGGCTCCTATATGGTTACTGCATATTCCTTCATGAATTTCTCTGAGTGTGTAGTTAGCGTCTTCGTTTCCTATGCATTTGAGGAGAGGTGCCAAAAAGCCTTTCCTATACAAGTTCCCTTGCAAAATAGAGAATCTGGCAGACCTCATTCTCAGCTTTGCAACTTCCTTGGAGTCTGCTGGCAAGGTTCCATTCTGAAGATGTTCTACGATGGGGTCTATCCAACTGGGTGAGGCTAGAACGGGGAGCATATCTTCCTCCTTGGTGCTTATTGATAGCTCTGCTAGGTGCTCCATTGGTATCAATCTACCCAGGTTTTCCTGCGAGGCAGTTGGCAGTCTTGCTAGCGCATCTGCTCATGAATTCTCAGACCTAGGGACATGCCTGATCTGAAATTGCCCAAATTTCTTAATCAATTCTTTCACCTTTCTAAGCTATAGGACCATTTTATCGACCTTGGCCTCATAAGATTCCTTTTTTTATTTTACCACGAGCTGGGAGTCATTGCAGACCTCAAGTAAGGTTTAGCCCAACAATGACTACTTTATTGTTCGAAGCTTTAAACCCAAACCTTAGAGTGTACTCGACGTCTATTCCATCGAGGGAAGTCAAAATCAGACCAGCACCACTCCCTTAAGCATTGGCAGCTCCGTCTACGGAAAACTTCCACATCGGGAGGTCGAGAACCAGCTGTGTTGCCTCCGCAAGTGCTTCTGACTTGAATTCTGAAATAAAATCTGGTAGAATCTGTCCTTTGATCATTGTCCTCGACTTGTATCAGATATCAAACTCAGTAAGCTCAATGACCCATTTAACCAACCTCCTAGAGGACTCTAGTTTATGTAATACCTGTCTCATTGGTTGATCTATTAGGACCTCAATAGTATGGCCTGAGTCTTCTTGTGGTCGTAACCAAGGCCAAGACTAGTTCCTCCATCTTTGGGTATCTTTCCTCTGCTCCTCTCAGAGCTCTGCTATAGTAGTAGAAGATGAGGTCCCTACATTTGAAAGGAGGGCTTCCTCGCCATTAATATACTTTTCTGCCTTAGTCAGCACTTCTGTCATGCTTGCCTGTGGGTTATTTGATATCTAAAACATCAAATCCTTCAACTGCACTCCTAACCCAGCAATTAAAGCAGTGATAGCGAACTTCTCATATGATACATCCACCTTCAGGGATTTTGAGTTGAACCTTTGGACTTAAGACCGCAGGTTCTCGTTGGGTCCCTGTTTTATGTTCAACAGGTGGTTACTTGGCTTTCAGTAGGTCCGAACTCCTATGAAATAGGAAACAAAAGATATGGAGAGCTCCTTGAAAGAA